CAAGGCCATCCTGTGCAGCACGCGCGCCCAGGATCTTCTGCCGTGGGTGCGCGATCTGGACGTGGCGCGCCTGCTCATCGTGGGCCGGGACGGAGGCCGCAGCGACCGCGTGCCGTCGGTGGACGCCTTCGAGCTGCTTCCGCTGGAAGACTATGTCGACTGGCGCGATACCCTGCGCGCCACGCTCCAAGTGGGCGAGGCCGGCGGGCTCAAGCAGAAACTGACTACGACGCCGCTGCCCTACAGCCTGTTCCCCGCCCTCTACCAGGAGGTACGGATCCCAAGGCCGTTCTTCGTTCTTCGTTCTTCAGGTTTTCGTTGTGTTTGAGGTGACTGATCGTCATTGTCTTTCCAGGTCGCGGTGATGCATGCCGAGGGCAACACGCAAAATGCGGCGAAGGGCCTCGAGTGGCTGGCCAGGTTCGTCGACCAGCAGTACCCGACCACGCTCGGCACCAACCGGAAGGAGTGGGCCAAGCTGGCCTCGTGCTACGTGTCCGACAACTGGGCGCTCGAGCGCTGGCTCATCACTCGGGAGACGTCGTACGGGACCATGGCCACCTTCTCGCTGCTGTCGCACCTAGCCGCTGTAGTGGGCAGACTCGGCGAGCGGGCCTCGCCGCTACACCAACTGCTCTTCGCGCCGCAGTCGCAGTCGGCTTGCTTCCTCCCGTCCATGCCCGACGACCCACGCCAGCGGATTGCCCGTACGCCTTTTCCTCTTCCTCCTCTTCCAAGGCGTGGTGCTGATTGTTCTTCTTTCCGCCAGGCGACTACATGCAAAAGCCCGGATACGTCTATCTGGGTATGCTCTCACGATCCTCACCTCCCTTCTTGCACTTAAGCTCAGCAACTTGGATTACTCATAAGGCGATGCTTGGCCGCTTATTCTAATAGGCACCTGCAATCACGTCTATCTTGTGCCGCCCTGCGGTTTGCCCATGAATATCGAGTCGTGCGGCGTCGACGGCTGTGCTGTCCAAGTTGGAGGCACCGGCCACATCCCGGTACGCTCATTGAGATCTCCCTCGTTTATCGTAGGACCTCACCCTTGCACTCATAACCATGATGGTGTGGTACCATTTGCATCATGTACAGCTTCCGGGCCATGTGCTTCTCATGGTGCCTGGCAACCCGCCCAACACGCGCGGCTTCCCGGTCACCGCGCGCGATGTGACCGAGCTCACCGACCAGACGCCCAAGGCCTACTGCCCGCTCACGCTGCTGGAGAACGCTACCTGGCGCGTCCGCGACTGCGCCTCCGCGACCGCCTTCTGGCTTCTGCGCTTCCTGGTCGACGCCACGCTGCTCTTGAGCACCCTCGCCAACTTTGGCGGCCGGTCCAAGGCCGACGCGCTCGCCCTCGCCGCAGCAGATATGGGTAACACCGTGAACGAGTACTACTACGACGAGCGGCTGGGCCAGTCGTGGAAGCAGCTGAGCAGCCTGGTGGCGGCCAACCAGGAGGACGCCCTGCTCCTGGTCCACTGGACCCTCGACGCGTTGGCCTCGACCGCGCCGCTGGCCGGCGACTACTCTCGGCTCGACACGCTGGCCAAGCGCCAGGAGTGGGAGCGCTGGGCACTGGCCGCGACCAGCGGGCTCGCCGACGCGGGACTCGCGGTCGCCAAGCTGCGCGAGCTCAAGGTGCGGCTGCAGCAGGAGGCCACGCCCGAACAGAAGCAGGTGCTCGAGGCCGTGACGGAGACCGTCGACTCCGACCTGGCGCAGGGCCACAACGACGGCGCCTACCGGGCGAACAACCGCCCGGCGCTCTGGCGAATGCGCACGACCGTGACGGTGGACGACTTCAAGCGGCGCTTCGTCGCCGACGCCCAGGCGCTGGCCGAGTGTCCCAAGATGGCGCTGCTCGTGACCGAGGAGGAGAAGCTGCGCTGCATCGCCTCGCTGCCCGACATCCTGGCCTGGAAGACCGCTGTCGAGCAACACTTCAACAAGCGCATCGACAAGCAGACGGCCGAGACGCGGACCGTGGGCCAGATCCTGCAAGAGCTGTCGCCCGAACAGCGCCGGGAGTGGGGCGCACTCTTCCACCGCTTCGCTGCGGGCTGGAACCTGGCGCGCGAGTTCGTCCAGAAGCACCACGGCGAGGACATCACACTTATCGAGATGAACGAACGCGTATGATCCCCCTTGTGTCGTGTGTGTCGTGTGTGTCGTGTTTGGGAGCTGACAAGATCGCTTGTGCAGGTGCCGCTGGTGTATTCGCTCAACACGCTGGTGGGCGAAGGGGCGCAGGGTGTGGCCCTGGTCAAGTGGCTGATCAAGAAGCACAATGATGTCGTCGTCCGGATGCACCGCGTTCTGGCTGAGGCGGCCGACGCCGCCGACGCCGCGCTAGACGCACAAGCAGCGGACGAGGCCTACCGGGCGAAGATGCGGCGCTTCGGCGAGATCCCGCTCCATCTGGTCCGCACGACGCACATGCTGCAGCCGTTCCCCGCGCACGGGAGCATCACGCGCGTGCTGCAGCTGTCGGCCCACAGATCCTACGCCTACGGCAAGGGCCAGCACACGGTCTACGACTACGCGCGCGTCGAGGAGTTCCTCTTCGGCGAGTGCGTCCACGGCCGACCGCTCATCAATGCCGACCCCACCCAGCTGCGGTACGTACACCACCTTCACGCACTGTATGCACGTGAATGCTTACCACACGACACACACACGACACACACACAACACACACACAAAACACACAAAACACACAAACACACACACACAACACACACACACACACACACACACACACACACACACACACACACAACGACACGCTCAACCGCACAGGATGGTGAGCTTCCTCAATGAGGCCGGCGTCAATGGCCTGCTCAAGCAGATCGAGGCCGCGGTCAGCCCGCAGCGCGAGCTATCGGAGGAGGTCCAGCGCCGCATCAAGCAGGAACTTAACAGCCCTGAGCTCGCCCAGCGGTGCCTGCGCGCGTGCGAGATGTGTCTCAACTTCCTCCGCACCTCCGGCGGCGACCCGCGCCAGTCGCTGGTCGAGTACGCCCACGAGGTGCTGCTCATCAACTGCCACGACGAAGCGAGCGGCCTCCACTTCGGCTTCCTAGGCGATCGCCGCGGCGACGCGGTGTGTTTGGCCCACGTCAACGCCCTCTGGCGGCTGCTGCACAAGCTGGTCTACCCGGACCAGTTCAGTGCCCTGGCGGCCAAGTACCGCGAGAAGCTGCCGGCCAAGTTGCAGCCCAGATTCAGCCGCTACTGCATGAGCCTCAAACCTGGAACAAGGGCGCTGCTGGCCGACACGCTCGAGGCCTTCGTGCGGGACAACCTTCTCGAGGAGGAAACGCGCCGTCCCGACGCCGGCGCCAAGGAGGAGTTCATCGGCAAGCTGCTGACCAACAACGACTGGCGCGCGGCGATGGACATGGCGCCGCTCGACCTGCCCGAGCTGCTCGAGTTCACGGACAGCATGCCCCACTTCCCTAACGACCTCAAGCTCAAGCACTGCTTCGACGCCTTCCGCGTGGCCCGCCAACTCGCCGTCAAGGCCTAAGAAGAACGAAAGAGAAGAGAAGGCTTGGCCCAACCGCGCAAAGAGAAGGAGAAGGTGGCGCCGTTATTATCTTTGCCGCCGTTGTATGCGGGCAGGCCAGTGTTGAAGTGCCAATTCACTTTTGCTCAGGGTCCAGACCGTTTCCTTTCTATCCTTGTTTATCGTCTTTCCTTATTTGGAAGGCTGTGCTTAAAACGGAAACAACCATCCATCCCACTTTGCCTTGTTTCGATTTTTGAGGAGCAACACTTGCGGTAGGAGATGGTGGCGGAGAGGTTCGCTGTTCTCGTGGCGGCATTGCTTGTGGTGAGCTTGCTGGGTGTACAAGCTAGGCTACCCAAGACGGCCACAATATGGACAGGCTTTGGCCACAATACAACTCTGGGTACCCTCCGCCTCTCTACTGAGTGTGGTGGAAAACACACATCACTGCACCGCGTTAACACCACTTTCATATTGTCTTCTTCCAGACTTGTTGGTCCAAAATGCCAAGTCTCTGACACATGTGAGCGTCATCGCGTACATGATCGACACCAACGGCAACTTCGCTTGCTCCTGCGATCCGACGGTGCCATGGCAGCGGCCCTGCAATAACAACGGCACCTACTCCGACTGTCCGTGGTGGGACTACCACGTCAAGGTCTTGCAGAAGAACAAGTACGTCTCAGTTGTCTTGCCTAGACTGGCCCTCAGGTTCTCACATGGTGGTGATGCTCATTAGTATCTGGGTGATGCCCTGCATCACTCTTCCGCCCGGATATATCACCACGGGCCTGCAGAAAGTCATGAATTCGACAGATCTGCAGGGTAGCTAACACCTTCACCAGAGTGTTTTTTTGTTTCATGTCAGCCGATCTCATCCCTTCACTCACGCGCAGACCAGATGATCTTCCGCGCGGTTTCGATTGCTGTTGAGCGGAACTACGCCGGGTACAACATCGACTGGGAGGGCGACACTGGAGAGATCACCTCGCAGGTTCACGCGTGCTTCCCTTCCTTCTGCCGGGTTGGCGGCCAATACTAAGCTGTGGGTGAATGTGAGTGCAGGAGTTGGCTGTCTTCTTGGGCAGGTTCAGGCAGGCCTTGGCGCAGTTCGACAAGAAGCTCTCCTTTGACGTCGCGCTGCCGTCCTTCAAATGGAATACAACGGCTCTGGCTCCCTGTACGAGACTGTGTGTTCCGCTTCATTCTGGCTTAGTTGATCAGAAATTGTGGGTGCTAACTCGACAGGTGACATTGTGTAAACCATTCAGCCTTGGACCAGTTCGCCGACATGGGCACCTACGGCGTGTCGGGGCAAGATCTGGCTGAGGCTCTGCGCAACAACATTCCGCTCGCTTCCGGTGTGGAGCATTACGGGATGGGCATGCTGCCCCCTTCCCTCACCGATGAAGAACTGGTGGGGGCCTTTGGACTGATGGCCAAGTTCGGAGTCGTCCACCTGTGGGTTTGGCCCGACGGACCCACACCCGACTTGACTACTCTGTTCTGGTCCCTGTCGGCCAAGTTTTTGGAGAGAGTCTGAGCCACCACCCATTGAACTTATTCTCATTAAATGAGCGTCACCGCCCGTGAAGGTGACCATAACGGTTGATTACGCCTTTCTTCGTTTGCAGTCGGCAAGAAATAAGTCCCAAAAAGAAAGAGGGGCGGAGTGCTCTTCGTCAAGCCCCGCCCGAGTCTGCGACCAGCATCAAGATAAGATGCATAGCTGCGGCCCGTTGTGGATGTCTCTCGCTCTCCTCGTTTTTGCCGCCACCGTGGGCGCTGGCGACGTGCCGGAGCAACTCCGCCTGGCCCTCACCGGTTTCCCTCATTCCCCCCCCCCTCCCCACAACCACCCCAACATATTCCCTGTTGTGTGGGGGGAAGTGGGCCTTATTGTATGAGTGTGGGCGGGCCACAGGAGTGAATGGGGAGATGGTGGTGGGGTGGACGACGCAACTGGACGCTGGTTCGACGGTGGAGTATACGTGCGACGGCTGTGGCCACTTCACGGTGGAGGGCAATGCGTCGCGCTACTCGATCCCCGCCTACACGCCGCCCTACACGTCTCCGCTCCTTCACTGTACCGCCTTCGTCTTGTTCATTTGTTTGCCCTTCAGAGCGCCTTCTTCATGATGTGGTGAGCAGCTCACTCACTCTGACCGTATGTCTCCAGTCGTACTGTTGACAGGCTTGAACAGCTCCACAGTGTACGAGCCCCGAACTAAGAGTCTCTCTTGCCTACCAGGTAGTCCGCACTGCTAATCTCTCTTTGTCTCTGACTGAGGGGCTGCAGGTATTCGTACCGCGTGGGCCACAGCAAGACCGGCTGGAGCTGGACCCACCAGTTCATGACCAAGGCCGACGTTCAGCCCACACCCGACAGGTTGGTCACCACCTTCACGCTGGCCTCACGCTTGCCACTTATTGTTTCGTCTCGATCAGCTAACGCTGTGCGCACCTGCACCGACGCTGGTGTGGTTCGTGTGGGTCCTGTTTTGTCACGTACAGTCCGCTCCGATTCCTGTCCATCGGGGACGAGGGCACGATCAAGGGCGCCAAGGAAGTCCTGGCCGGCATGCTTGTCGCCCAGGAGAAGTTCCACTTCGACTTCCTCGTTCACGGCGGCGACATCAGCTACGCCAACGGGATTCAAGACATCTGGGACCAGTGGGGCCAGCTCGTGCAGCCGCTGGCCGCCCAGGTGCCCTGGATGGTGAGTGTCGGCAACCACGAGATGCGCCCGAACCAGACCGACGCCGGCTTCCTCTACCGCTTCGCCATGCCCAGTACGTGAGAGATCAACTCTCCTGTGACCCCTTCAATCTAGTAACGGGGTCTCTGATTGCATTCATGGGGCATCTTCAGCGGCCCAGAGCGGTGGTGAATCGGGCAACATGTACTACAGCTTCGACTACGGCAACGCCCACATGATCGCCCTCGAGTCCGAGGCCCAAAACTTCTCGGCCCAGTACGACTGGCTGAAGCGGGACCTGGCGCAGGTCAACAGGACAGTGACGCCGTGGATCATCGGGTTCTGGCACAGGCCCTGGTACTCCTCCAATGTCGGTTCGTGGCCCCCTACGCGCCCTCCCTCCCTCCTTGATCGCTTCGGCGCTTCGCTGTGCTTACCGGTAACCCACTGACCACTGCAGAGCACGCTGGCTCTGGCGACGTGATGCGGGGCGCCCTTGAGGCCCTGTTCTTCGACAACAGAGTGGACATGGTGATCACAGGTACGAGCCGGGATGCGATTGGGCTTTTGTTGCACGTCATCACGCCTACGTACATGAGCTCACATGCCCTCCCCCAATAAACGATCAGGCCACGTACACTGCTACGAGAGGACTCTGCCCGTGTACCAGGGAGCTCTCAACGATGAGGCGCCGTTCTACATCACCAACGGTGCTGGCGGCAACGGGATGGATGACACGTGGGGCGATGCCCCCGAGTGGTCCGCCAAGAGGTGCGCACAATACTGGCCTCCCCTTAAACCTTCTCTGTTTTGGGTGCGAGTGAGGACTGCTAACTCTACTTTTTAATATAAATATCAATTGTGTGTCGCACAGGCTCGCCGCCTACGGCTTCGGTTATGTGGAGCTCTTCAACGCCACGCACCTGCACTGGACCATGCGGTCTTCCAGCGATAGCGCCGTCATCGATGAGGCGTGGCTGGTGCGCCCCGCCGATCGGTTCCAGACGAGGCGGTGAAGAAGTTAGGCGGCCTACCATCTATCAGTTCACCAGGTCATGTCCTTGCCCTAGTCCTGTATGTTCACGTCAGTCAGAGGGCACTGAGAGACCCGGAGGAAAAAGTAAACACAATTGCAGGAGAAGGCCCAGCAAGATGATGGGTGCGTGCTGTGCAGATTAAAAAGGATACGGCACGGTGGATTCCCGGGTGGTCGCCCACCCCAGTACTAACATCGCCTGGCTCAGCTTAACTTCGCTGTTCGGATGGGAAGCGGTGCTTTCTGCGCAGTATGGCTGTATCCAACAACCATCATGCTGTCTGCCGCATGCGGTTCACCTCCTGAGGCTGTCCAGCCTGCTTCCTCAGCATGGCCATCTGGGCGCTCTACCACTCTTCCCACTTTATCTCATAAGGGCTTGCCTACTCGCGAAGCAGTAGATCTGACAATCAGTACAAACTGGCGCTTGAACATGATGTTACTGGTTATTTATAGATAAAATGTTATCTGTACAGACTAAATCCCACTACTGCGCTGTGGTTGCGCATCAGACAGAAGGAGAGTGGAACATCGGGTTGGTCCCCTCCGTGACATTGTCCTCGAACAGACTGTTGACACCAGCCGCGTCGTTCCCTTGGCCATCCATCTCAACGGGGACTATCTCCTCCGGGGGCGGGGCAGCGTTCATCTTCCGCATTGCCAGGTAACTGAACACAACGACCAACACACCAACACAACGATCAGAAGGGCAAAGGAAGCACACGGTTTGCAGGGAGATCAGTACCCTGCGGCCACGAGGCCAGCAACAGCTCCAACAACGACAGCTGCAGCAATAAAGCCACCAATGGCGATGGCGGCCGCCTCTCCTGTGAATAGGAAAAAACAGTGTGCTTGTGTCAACCAAGGGCATGGGCGAAGGATTGATGGTTTGCAGATGTAGGACTTACCGGGGGAGAGGGTGTCACCACCCGACACGGGCACGGGATCGGAGCACGGGTTGCTGCTGTCCACCACAGAGTAGGCGATGTTGCCGGTGGCCTCGGCCTTGAACACCATGTCGATGTCCGACGTGTTGGTCGAAATGGTGCCGTTCTCGGCGAAGGTCTCCAGGCTCTTCAGCGTGCCAACGTCGTAGAGAACCTCGTCGTTCAGCTCGATCACGACATCGATCAGGTCATTGTAGCCCCTGAAGACAATCACCATTAATACAACAACAATAACGACAACGTTGGGTTAGCCACCAACCTTGAGTTGGCTGGCGGTGCGTACAAATTGGTGACGGAGACGGTGTAGTTCCACTCGAAGGGAGGAACGGTGTAGGTGGCGTTGAGGTCCAGCACGAGCTGTTGGCCGCCGAGGCAATCGGCATCGATGGCGAGACCGCACTTCTTCATCCCGCCGAACGCAAAGTCCTCCGAGATGGCGTTCAGCGCGTTGGAGACGCGGGTCGTGGCCAGGAAGGATGAGTAGCAGGGCATGCGGGTCAAATTGGCCAGGGCCACCAGCCCGTTCACCACAATACCACCTAAACAAGAGAGATGATGAAGAAGAGAGTGAGCACCAACCTCTCGACGAAGCTTCATGTTGCCAACGGATTAGCAGATTGGGGGGGGGTTCGAACCTTCAAAGAAGTTCCGGGCTGGGATAGCGTAGCCCTTGCCAAACTTGCCGTTGTAGTACCACGGCGAAGTAATGTTCTCGTAGTCATTGGTGATGGCGCAGACCACCTGCGTTACATCGTTGGGGTCGCACTTGGCCTTCGTGTCCGTGTAAAAGATTTGGCTGCAGTGGATGCCCCCCCCCCACAATGTTAGAGGAAGGCGACCAATGGCAATGGCCCGGGGGGGGGGGCAATACCTCACATTACCGCCTCGCCAGACAAGAAGCTTGATGCTGGCCGGCGTGCTACTGCCCTGAGCAGGGAAGTCAGCAACAATCAGCAGATCTCCTGTAGAACATGTTTACCAAGTCAGTGCCGGTGAGCGCTTGTTGTGGCGGACTGCATGCTAAAGCACTGCGTACCGTCCATGTGTTGCCCGTTGAAGGCGTAGGCCTGGCTGCTGACTGCAGATCCGAGTCCCACGCGGCCGTCCTGGAAGAACCAGTAGCCCACCGTCGCAGCCCCGTTCTGGGCCTCCCGGTCGAGGCCAAAGTACATCGACACCCGCCCGGTCGAATTATCAGACAGGACCGCGGCATAGGCGTTCAAGATGTTGCCCTTGTCGTTGGTGTTGAGATCTGATGTCGCCGACAGACCAATCGTCAGAAATGATGAGTTGATGATGATGATGTGGTGGTTCCGTACAAGGGGTCCACCGCCAGTAGGGGACGTCGTAGGAGTCTTTGGAGAGGCCCTGGAACCAGGACGACGGGTCCCTCTGCTGGCTACCGGACGTGCCTGTGAAGTAGTCCTTCACGAACACCGAGGTAAAGGCCGGGTACTGACCTGAGTAGATTGAATCCCTGCCATTGTCCCCAACACACGACATTCACGCGTGAGAAGACGACTGACCATCCGATCAAACCGTGAGATCAAGAGTTGTACCAGTCGACTTGGCTGCTATTCGCTCCGGCCGTGGTCCTGCCGTTCAGCGCAAAGAGTCCAGCGGCCACGGACTGGGCTTCCGAAATGGAGGCCAGGTAGCATGTGATGATGAGGAGAGCAAGGGCGAGCACTGGACTGAACCTGGTGGTGGCCATATCGCGTGTGTGTCTGGGCTTGGAGCAAGAGAAGAATGGTATGGGCGCCTGTGTCTGTGGCGGTTTGATGCACTGCTGTCGGACGTTGGCCGATTTTAAGGTACAGAGCCACATTTTCCCGCAATCAGGCCGCAACAAGCACAATTGGGTATGGAGTGTTTGGTGTCCCCAAGACCGGGTCCTGTTTTACGCTCAAGCTTGAGAGTTGACCAAGTGACCAGCCAATCGGTCGGTGGCCTAGGCCGTTTGGGCGGCGTGAACTCTGACAACAAAATTTGTATTATTATTAACATAAATGGGTTCAGGCCTTCTTACGACCTGCGGTCAGCCGAAGGAAAGTGTAGGCGAGGGTGTGGAAGAAGAAGAACTGCATGAAGAGGAAGAGGAACGACGCCCACAGGCTCCCTTCGTCGTTGTTGAGGTGGAGGTCCTCCAATGCAGCATCTCCAGCTGTGTGGTGCGAACGTTGTCAGACCAAATAAATAAATAAATGGAAAACAAACAAATAATAAATAATAAATAACAACAAAGAGTGCAGCGTACTTGGGGTGCAGTTTTCATCTGGCTTGCAGGTGAATGTGAGGCCGTCGAGCTCATTCCTGGCCAGTATCTGAAATCCATACTTGAATGGAGAGAAATACTTGGCCCTGTGCACACACCGCACAAAGAAGCCCGAGTCAGGTGCCGGACGAAGAAGAGCAAAGCCGCAAAGATCTGCACAACACGTACCATATGAGCCACTTGGGAATGGAGTCGTCGTTTAGGAAGAAGCCGCCGAGTAGCATGAGCGGAATGAAGATCATGGGCGCCATCGCCATCGACACGTTCATATCCGGCGCACCGGCGCTGATCGCTAGGCCCAGCGCGTGCGCGGTGATGGTGATGGTGATACAGGCGGCGACGAAGATGAAGTACTTGTCGGCCTCCGCTTGGTAGCCCACCATCCAGTAGGTGATGGTGCCTTGCACGATCGGCACCAGCGTGAGGAAGGGGATGTCGGCGAGGACCTTGGCGAGGTAGTAGGTGAGCGTGCTGTAACTGCCCGTTGAGTGTTCGCGAATGAACACCACCCGCTCGGCCTGGAAGACCACCAAGCAGCCCATCATCGGCCCCATCGCCATCGACATGGTGACGAAGAACAGCGACCCCTGCCTGTCCGTTATGCTGCGTTGATCGTCTCCTAACTGCCGGCCGGTCATTACCATGAACACATGAATAGGAGTTAAATTAGGTCCGATGAGACTTCAACGGGTGGTAAAGCGCCAGCCAAAAGCGCACCTGGAGGTAGAGGAAGCCGACGAGGAAGGACAGGAACAGGGCCTGGCTGAGCCGAGCGGGAATCTGCATCGGGTCGCGGGCTTGCATCATGCTCCCGCGTATGAGTAGGAGGCCCCATCGGTAGAGGAAGTTGGGTCCGCTGGCCACCTTCAGCTTGTCAATGTCTGTTTCGTGGCTGTTGTTCCGTCGGCGGCGGATGAAGGACTTGGTGAGTGTGGAGCGGCGCGTGACGGGCTCGCTGCCGCTGCGCTTGATGCCGTCGGCGTAGTCCCCGCCGTCTTCCGTCAGCGCCGGCAGGTTGTGGTTGTCGCGGAAGGCCGAGATCAAGTGCTTGAGCCGCTCCTCGCCCTCCTCCTTGCTCGATATGTAGCTGTCCGCCTTCACCAGATTCACTTGTGTCGTGTATTGTGTGTGTGTGGTTCGTCAGAGTTGAATACTCAGTAAACCACAGTATGTTTGAAGGCGGGACGTACTGATGAACTCGGCGGGTTGGTGTACTTGGGGCACTTGTAGCCGAGCTGGCCAAAGTAGGCCACCACGTCCTTGGTCGGCCCGTTGTAAACCATGTGCCCTTCGGCCAGCAGCATGAGGCGGTCGAACTTGAAGAAGATGTCCGTGCTGGGCTGGTGGATGGTGGTCACGATGGTGCGACCCATGGCCGCCAGGTGCTGCAGCTTCTCCACCAGCGAGTACGCCGTCGACGAGTCCAGCCCTGTGGCAACAGTGCACGTTAGCGGTTGGCGTAAGGCCACCAAAACGAGGCTTTGGGTCGTATGGAGCGCACCAGAGGTGGGCTCGTCGAGGAAGAGGATCGATGGGTCGGTGATCATCTCCATGCCGATGCTCACCCGCTTCCGCTGTCCGCCCGAGATGCCCCGGTGCTCGGCGTCGCCGATCTTGGTCTTCTGGCACTTCTCCAGGCCCAGCTCTTCGATGAGCGCGTTGACCTTGGCCTTCTTGTTGCGCTCATTGAAGGGCAGCTTGAGCTGCGCCGAGAACCAGAAGGTCTCGCGCGGTGTCAACAATGGGTACATCACGTCGTCCTGCGTGCGGAAAGAACTGTGGTGTTAGCCCTGCTGCTGCGGGACAACTGAGCCACAGGCACCAAAGCAAACGTTTGCGTATGTACCTGCATGACGTAGGAGCTGAGGCGGGACCACTTGCGGTTGGAGATGTGGTCCTTGGGGATGTCGTTGACCGTGAGCGAGCCCTTGGTCTTGCCGCTCTGCACGCGGCCGGCCAGCAGGTTGAGCAGCGTCGTCTTGCCCGCCCCTGTCACAAGAGAAGATTTATCAAAATCCATCAATGATTAATTTTATTATTTTATAAAATATAAATGTGATATCACTTGCGTACGTGTCCTGTCGCCGAAATTTCGTGTCGTCGCACGTAATGAAAAGAACAAGAAGTGGTAGGGAAAGGCGGAGAGGTTGGGGGAGTACCGGAGGGACCCATGATGGCGGTGACCTCGCCCGGTCGCAGCTCGCCGTGGAGGTCCTTGAGCAGGGTCTTCTTGTGCTTCTTGTGGAACGGGTTCTTGCCCTTGCGCACCTTGACCGAGAAGAACAGGTTCTTGAAGGCCAGCGTCACCGGAATGTGCTTGGCTGCGGTGCCGGCGCGCAGGCCCACGTCCGACTGGGTAATGGCGTCTCGCGACCCCGAACTGCCGTCCACTTCATCGTCAGAACCGTCCTCCTCTGACGACTCCCCTTTGCTCTTCCTCTTCTTCTTGCCCTTCATCTTTTCATCGTTGTAGGCGGGCGAGATGCCAGCATCGTCCTCCTCCGCCTCGCTGCTCGAGGTGGCAGCGGCCTCCAGGTCCTCCAGCTCCCGTGCTTCGCCCCTTTCTTCGTCACTGTGCGAGCTGCTCATGCTGCCTCACTTCTCTCTGTGGTGGGTTGGGCTGCGCTGTGTGCGCGTAACTGATCAGTGCTCAGCAGTGTCGCGCACTCGGGCAGGGAGACACAAAGCATCGGCCCTTTTGCACGCCACGTGACCAGAGGCAAAACAAGCGTGATTGGTTTTACCCCACAGCAGCGCGTTGAACCAACCTACAATCAACTATTATGTTGCACTTTACAAAAAAACTTAATGTTGTTCTCGTAGATAAAAATGTACAGGTCTCTCTTTGTGGGTTTGGGAAGGGTTGGTGGCTCTGGGGTGTTTAGGCCTTCCTCCTGCCGGCGGTGATGCGCAAGAGGAAGTAGGCGATGATGTGGAAGAGAAGTACTGCATGAAGAGGAAGAGGAACGACGCCCACAGGCTCCCTTCGTCGTTGTCCAGGCTCAGGTCGCTCAACACTTT